GTATAAGATAATATTGACGCATTCAACGAGTTCAACWTGAGGACATTTTTAATAAATAAATATCATTAAAACACTAAGAAAACACTGAAAGCTTATTTAGGGATTGGTATCACAAAAATATTTTTTATACAAAAAGTTTGCTGTATAAAGTCATAAAATGCAATTTTTCTTGACCCAAAATTTTTGAAAGATAAACATTGATGCATGTAAAACTCTGTTTAGTTGAATCTCATTTAGGATAAAGACAGATGGCAGGAAAAATGATCTGCCAAATAAAACAGATACTTATGTTTTGGTATTGCTGAATTAAGATTATGTCTTATGTTTATCTGGTTTGCGGCTCTCATACTGTTGAAAACTTGTGAAATTGTTTTAGATTTCAGCAAAGTGGAAATGCCACTTTTTTACAAAGATTTTTAAAATTTTCCTGCAGGTAATGATGTCTCTTTGTAATGTTTTCTATTCCAGGTACGACTGAGGTGACACCATGGTCAAAGAACCACTCCTCTACCCCTTCCTTTAATGTCACCAGTTCTACAAACATGACGTACACCACAGCAGCACCTGCATCAAACCACAGCAACATCACCGATCATTCTGCTCTTCCATCTGGACCTTCAAACCATTYCACTTCAACGGAGGCACTCTCACGCACCACTGTGTCCATACCTGGACCACAAAACACTTCTTCTACCACTGCCAGCATTCAGACCAATTCAGCATCCAGCACCAGCTTATTCATTGAGTCTCCCAGTACTCCTGTTCCAGCAGACACTTCCCAAACCAGCGCACCCMCTAAGACTGAAGCCCAGCCCAAGTCCACTGAGACTCCAGTGGAGCGCAGCACCGTAATGAAAAGCCAGTCTGCGAGTCCGTCYCAGCTCAACATGGGGGGTGAGGGTAAGTGTCTGATAAGTTCTGTGCTGCACACCAATTCACTTTGGGCTGTTTACAGACTGAATATTAACAAAGACCACAGTGAATTGGCTTATCCACAAAGGGGATGTTGTTCTTTGTTTTCAACCACAAACCAGTCATTTTTGCGTCACACAGAGGCACAAACACACAACACACATGCCCCTTTTTAATCTTTTACAAGCTCCGTCACCACCAAGCACGACACAATCATGTGTTTGTTTAAGAGGAGACCGAGGCGTCACAGGACCCTGCCTTCAAGAACCTTACTTCTTTTGTATGTTTTTCTGTGTTTTCATCAATCTTGTTAAATAATTTATATATTTTTTTTCAATTTCAATTCAAAAAAATTGATTTATTTCATTAAAAAATAACTATATACAATAAAAAACAAAGAAAATACAC